ACAGACTTGTTTATTATTAGGCCTAATGGCTACGACAAAAGGGGTTTTAGTGCCAGCTTGAACTGGACCTACAGTGACTGTTCAACAAAAATTCATAATAAATCTCCTCATCGTATTTTCAGTTATTTTAACCAAGGAAAAAACTTAATCTGCTAATCTTTGCACCATTTTAAACATCCGATAATTGGAACAAGTCTTAACACATTTTTAATGAGTATATTATCGTCCACCAACCATAACGCATTTACAAACACAATACACGTTACAACGGTACTGGTGTCGGATGTCCTCAAGTACCTCTTTGCCCAGCTCGCATAACTTGATACCCTCACATTAGTAACGTAAAGACTTGGGTGGCCCGGTGTAGGATGGGGCTTCCCAGCTGGCCCTGGGGTAAACGGATACCATCACACCCCCGCCATCTGCCATGCAACCCTTCTAGGCCGGGGTGGCTCCTAACAGTTCACTAGTTCTGTAATGCAAATTCCCTCAAAGGTACCTCGATTATTTTGCACTGCAATTACTATCAGGTTTAAGTTAACGGCCTTTTGAAATAGCGTTCAGTAATTGGATAAAAGGTGCAATGGAACGAGGTCGGTTTGTTGATCTGGTAACAGGATCATTTTGGTCACGTCGTACACTACACCAATGATTGCTCGTAGAAAGAAGGACGTGTTCAAAACTTATTTATAGAAATATGACTTTTCGTCAAAGGTATTTAGCACCTGGTTGTTCGGAACCCGTTTTCAAGCATTAGGTTTTTAACCAAGTCTACATGAGACCCAAGTTCACAGTCAAGTTTAAGTAATCTACTTCATATAAAACCATGCCCTATAAATTTTTTTTTATTAGTTTACTAGAATTGACACCTACGATTACGAAATACATAACAAAATGTATACAGTTTTGTGAAGAGTCTCCTGAAGTCATTCCAGCCAATGATGGCACGTGATGGAAAATCCCCGCAATAATACTTTAAACAACATAATCTTAAAACTTGTGATTGGAATTTCTTCCATTTGTTGTGACTTTCTTGTTTTACTATTTCGTCACCAACCCATCGGGGCAATCCATAATTAATTTTAAATTAAAATTTCTGTGCTTGTTTTTGAGGCGATTTTAATTTATAAATTGATTCTGCACATAAAACAGGAAAATATCCTCCTAACAGTATGCGTAGATTTTCTCTGCGATGCACACGAGTGAGAAAAAGGTTTTCAAGAAACACACTTGCCTAATTAATAAACTGCGAACTTGTCTAATGTGTCGGAAAACCCCGAATGAAACACATTTTTTGCAATGTTCCTTTCATGATTGCTGTAAACATGCAATAATCTACAAAACTGTTGATAAACGCTCCAAGTTGTTGATTAAACATATTTCTTTGTGCAAAAAATGTGATTCAGCATGATTCACCATCATGATGGTTACAGTACAAGCGGAAACGTCCCCTCAGTTGTTTAAACAATATATTTGTAAAAAAAAAAACACGTGGAACTGAAACGAACTGTGAACTTTTAAAAGTAAAATTGTTGTACAAATGCTAGTGTGTACTTGGAAGCTATTGGAAATTCAGCTTTGTTTTATGTGTATTTATAGAAGTTTTTAACGAGGAACGGGTTAAAGCGAACTGTTGATTAGCCGTCAATAGTCTACCGTATAAGACCCTGAATGGTAAACGACTTAACCGTTAAATCCATTAACCAATTAAACCATTAAAAAGGTAAAAAGTAACCGTTAAAACAATGAAACAAAATTAATTTAACACTGACTAATTTTTTTAGGAATGGATTTTTTACATTTATTAATAGTGAAGCCCTTCTATTGGTGTTAAGTTTAACGGAGTTTACAATATTCTTTAATAATTTAAACTGCCACCATACATAAGATTGATGCAATAAGTGTATATTACATACATATTGTTACCGCATCAGCAACCTATCAAAGATGTACTTTTGAAACTAAATTTACTAACAGCAATCACCATATTCATTTATAACATTTCTCATCAACATATTTTCTGCTTTAACTCAAGTAATATATTTTTTACAAGCTAGACCATTACTTGCAAATGTTCAGGTAAACGGAAAACTGCAACAAAGTTTGTAAAACGTGTTCCAAACGTGAAAGCGAACCAATAAACTCGTCCAGATATTAGGTCAACGCAGGGTTTTTGGTGGGAAGAGCTTAACCCCGTAACAGCTGTATGAAGCCCCGCAATGTAGTTTTCAAGCCGAAGCCCCCACATTGATAAGTATTGACCAATCAGAACGCTGTTGCTATGCAGGGTAAACAATCGGTTGCTAGGGTTGCTCAGGGCTATCACCACTGACATCACTCTAATCACCGGACTGTCCCAAAAATTAGAGTCGATAAATTGATTGTTTTTGTCGGATCAGACTGCAGTGAAGGTCGGCATAACTCATGACCAGTTGTGAGGTTGTGAACGAGTTATGGAGGTGATGCACGCAATTCACCATTGAGCGTTGCGAGTAAAAACTGCAATCAAGCGGCGTTTTGGATGAAAATAGCCCGTGCGATTTTCCGACATTTCCTTGTACGGTAGCTACTGGTGTAATTTTTTCCCCAGAAAATATGCTTCAACCCGAATCTGTCCCACTACAGAGGTGATAGTTAGGACGAATACGCAGAATTAGCATTTTATTTAAATACATAAAATGACTAATGCCTTATCATTAATTGTTGATAATAATATATAGATTAACCGTTAACATCTTATACAGTAATAGATTTTTTGAATCCGATGATTATAATTAATTCATACAACAGCTCAAAATGGTCTTTCCTTCTCCTTCAGACTTGTTTGATTCATACAGTAACCAAAATTGCATATTGATTTTTTATTTACCTTCATCGGTACTGACAACATAATTTAAAGTTTTGCTAATATAAATATTTAATTCAATGTTTAACAGTGAATAACAAGTTAGTTGCGCATAGTTTCAATACATAATTGTTTGCTTTAAATCATTGTCTTGTATTTTACAGTACCACCTTTAACACTACGATGTATTTAATGTTAATATCATAAAAAACACAAGTCCTAAGCAATGAATATACATTGTTATTTGTAAATATTGCTGTTTCAATTACAGCTCTGTGTTTGTCGATTTCAATAATGCAATATTAGAAGCTATAACTTATAATTATATTTATAAATGAATAGTATTTACTGCCATTAGCACAATTTAAGTCTACTTTCGTCAAAAGAGTCTCATGGCATTACCTCTTTATCGTCTCAACATCTCATTGTCTGCTCACTCCACCTCCCAGTCTCATTTGAATAAACAGTTTTCTCTACTACAGCTAGAGAGTAGTTTGGAAATTGAGAAACTGACGACTTTGAGCGATAAAAGAGTGTTTCACTCAGAACACAATGTTACACAGCTGCAAGAAACATCGACTGTGAAAATACGGAGCTTGTTTCAAATTTAATACTTGCTTTTCATTGTTTGTTGTCACAGAATAATTCACTGCAGCGGTGTTGAATTTTTAATCGGATTACTCTCTGATGGAATTTAAATGATTAACACTTGACATTTGCTCTGGCTTTCTACCGGGATTAAATTTAAATTGAAATTGTCCAGCGTTGCAACACTACGCAATTAGTTAAATTTTTAATGGACACAAGATCGGTGGATTTGTTTAAATTTGTATAAAATTGCGATTAATGTTTTACAACGCAAGATGTAGTGACTTGGTTACAATATACAGCAGAAGAAAGCACACTTTTAGGTTAGGACAAAATTGTGTGTACAATCTAGACAAGATAGATAAGTGACCCGAAAAGTACGAGACAAGTAATTAATTGTATGAATCAATAATTTTGGTTGTTTACAATATTTAAAATAATAATGAACAAAGAAAAAAATACAACTTCATTTTGTTCCCTATGACAGATTTTTTGTGTATTCCTATTATTTCATAAATTTTGGTTCACGACAAAAATATTGATAAACTAAATTCCTTTCGTTTTATGATTAAACCTAATAACATATTATTTTACGGTTATCTTGGTGTTAACGATTACAATGTATGTCTTTATAATACAAAAGTATATATAATTGACAAACAACGAATCAGTTAATGATGTATATATGTATACATGACGTTGATATATTTACTACATATTATTTTATTGCAATGCTGTGTCAAGATTGAAACATAAATGAGGACAATTTTCTGAATTGGTTCAAGTACGCAGTCACACCTCCCTTGTGATTACTTGCGTGTTAAGCTGCAATTCAGCAAATGGAATGAAGTACCTGAATTAATAATACAAGCACTGTTCCCCGTGTCAGTAGAATCGTCCCTATAGATAACAAAAATCAAATGTTAACTTTAAATTGAAAATATGAAAGTACAGTACCATCATAGTCAAATTTTCGTGTATACAGCAATAAGACTGAGAATGAAAACGTCACGTAATTGAATGAAGTACTTGTTTATTCCGTAGCTGTATGATCAGTTTTGTTCTGATTACTACCATTGCCACACCACGAGTGAATGACATACAACCATGTCGTGTATACAATGGTTTGACTTCCTATGCCGCATTTTGTTGGAAGAAACCTCTCATTCCTGTGATGAAATATATACAACGGTTACTAAATTCAATAATCAATTATGGAATGATCCAAAAATGTCGAAGAATCATTACTAAACATTGAGCATGGTATTGATTATAGTATTTTTTTAAGCTTCATGGTTTGACAAAAAATACTATTTGACAAGGCAGAAAGAAAAAATGGTCGTACTGTAACAAAGATGTTACAGACAAAAGAAAGATAAAATTAAAAATTAAAGACAAAAGACAAATTGATAAAAAGTCTTACTTGTTGTAAGAAAGACTTAAAACCAAAAGTATGGCTTTTATTCATTCAAAATTACAACCATGTTTTAGTTAAGAACAAATACAATATTTACAAACAAATCAAATAATAAATATTATCAGGTGATAATGTTCACATTCTCCCCCACTAGTTTTCAAGGTAGGTATAGCAAATGTAATCCTTTAGATATGACGGAGGCTTGACATTCCTCTTTGGACGTAGTTCCCCCACAGCCGTCTCTGAAGTTGGGGTCTGAGATACCATTTGTTGAGTTTCATTTTGAACTTCATTGTGGTCAATGTCTGAATTTATATTTTCAACAATCTCTCTCTCAGTAGTGTTGTCTTCATGAGGTAGATCACCAGGAGGTAGGCCAGCGGGTGCAAGATGTCTCAGGGATACTTGTGATTCTGACCCATCTCTTCTTCTGACGAGAGCGTACTGTGGATTTGATTCCAAAAGTTGAACTGGCTCCACAAGGTCATCATATTTATTAGATCTTACAAACTTTCTAAGCAGGACAGGACCAGGAGCGGATAGCCAAGATGGTAAGGAGTCTCCATTGGTAGATCTTCTGCTATGTATAAAGAATCTTTCGTGCGGTGTGCAGTTTGTCGCAGTGCATAAAAGAGATCTGACTGAGTGAAGTGCCTCCTGTAATACTTCTTCCCATGCAGCAACTGGCAGGTTGTGGTTTTTCAAAGCTAGTAGGATGGTTCGCCATATTGTTCCATTGAAGCGTTCAATCTGAGAGTTCCCTCTAGGGTTATAAGGTGTCGTATGACTTGTAGCTACTCCGTACTTGTGAAGAAAGTCCGTCAGCTCTCGCGACATGAAAGATGAACCTCTATCTGAATGTACAAAGGACGGGGCTCCAAACATAAAAAATAGATCTGAAAAACATCTGATAACTGTTGCTGAACTAATGTCCTTACAGGGGTAAGCAAATACAAAACGAGAATTCTCGTCCACCATGGTTAAAAGGTAACGGTTTCTGGTTGTTGATGGAAGAGGGCCCTTAAAGTCAATATTTAGACGTTCGAAGGGAGTGGTTGCCTTTATCAATTTGCCTTGGAATTGGTGAAATCTTGGCTTCACTTCTGCACATGTTTGACAAGCTGACGTCATCCTTTTTACATCATCCAGAGTGTAGTTTAGATTTTTAGTTTTAATCCAATGAAACATTCGAGTGACTCCCGGATGGCAGAGAGATTTGTGTAATTCAAACAACTTAGCATTGTCCCAGCGAACCGCACATGCCCGAGAGAGCGTATCTGCTTTTACATTCTCCCTACCAGGTCGGTACACTATTTCATATTGATAAGGTGTTAGCTCTAGTCGCCATCTCATAACTTTATCGTTCTTGATTTTGCTTGTATGCCTCTTGTCAAAGATAAATGATAAAGCTTGCTGATCCGTGTATAATCTGAAGTCTCTTCCGATAAGAAATGATTTCCATTTTCGAAGGGCTTCGACAATGGCAACGGCTTCTTTTTCAACAGCTGAATACAGCTTCTCAGATTTGTTTAGAGTCCGTGAGAAAAAAGCAATTGGCCGATTATCTTGACTCAAAGTTGCTGCCACGGCTATGTCAGATGCGTCAGTCTCCACTACCAGTGGCTCTTGCCCATTCCTAGGAGTAATTACTGAGTTTGCAATGTCAAGTTTGAGGGCTTCAAAATCTGCAACCGCTTCCTGTGACAAAGGAAAAGAATTGACTTGTGTCAGGTTTCTTATTTTATCAGAAAACCGATGTATCCATTTTGAATAGTGAGCGAAAAATCCTAGGACTCGCTTTAGTGAAACTTGGTCTTTGGGCACAGGAAGTGACAGTAGAGATTCTAGCCGATCTGGATCAGGTCGAATAGAGTTATGGGAAACTAAATGTCCCAACAAGGTTATTGAAGACTGGACTTGCTCTTTTCGTTGTTGATTACAAGTCCATACTTAGTTACAGCATCTAAAAATGTTCTTAGATTCTCATCATGATCCTTTTGATCCTTTCCACATACGGTCAAATCATCCAGATAGGCATACACTCCATTCAGTTTTTCTTTTCTAATGATTTGGTCCATGGTCTTTTGAAAACATGCCACCCCGTTGGTTACGCCAAATGGGATTCTTCTGAATTGAAAAAGACGACCAGCAGCCTCAAAAGCAGTGTACTTCTTCTCTTCGTCAGAAATTGGTATTTGATAGTATGCTTGCTTTAGATCAATGGCACTAAAAACCTTGTTCGTCGCTACAGTGGATACTAGATCATCTATATTTGGTAAGGGATAGGCGTCTAACAGAGTAAATTTGTTTATCGTTTGCGAATAGTCCACACACAGTCGCTTCTTCCCTTTGTCGTTTGTAACAACCAACACTTGTGCACGCCAAGGTGACGAACTAGGTTCAATGATCTCCTCAGTCTGTAGTCTTTCCATTTCTTGTTTTATAAATTGCATATCTTCATCTGAGTAACGTCGTGATTTTGTGGCTATTGGCTTACAATCTGGAGTTAAATTGCAGAATAGTTTGGGTGGTTCAACTTTGGCACAGGAGCACACCAACAGAGGAGGTTTCTTACCTCCAAACCAAACCTGTATATTTGAGTGGAGTTTCATGATATCATGTCCGATAAGCACGTCAGTACAAAGATCTTCAAGAACAGTCAACTTAAAATTGTTGTAATTGTGATTCAACAGATTTAGGTTGATTTTAACAAACCCGTGGACGTTTGATTTCATATTAGAAGCAGCTAGTGATACTTGTCCACTTTCATTATACATTTTAATTTTGTTTAACTGAACAAACTTCAAGTTTACAAAGCTTGATGTACTCCCGGTGTCTATTAAGCAATTTGCTTTCAGGCCATTCACTTTAGCTTCAACTGTAGAGTCCTTCAATACAGATGTATTATGTGTAGTTGCTATTAGTGCAGCTGATGTACTAGACGTCTTCTGTTTTACTTTAAAATGTTGAGTTGGATTACTTTTACAGACTCTCGCATAATGCCCTGTCTTGTTACATTTCCCACAAGTTGCTTCTCTGGCTGGACAGCGATCTCTAGAGTGTCTATCATGTCCACAAAAATAACACTTGCCATCAACATTTTTAATAGCGGAAACAGTCGCTTCTTCCTTTTGTTGTAGTGGGAATTCGTACTGACAAGCTTGCTTTGCCAATTCATTCGTTGCACAAGTTTGCATTCCGTACATAGATTTTGGATAGATCTCGACTTGAGCTTGAGCCATTTCAAGAGCTCTAGACTGTTCCACTGCTTCAGCTAGGTCTAAAGTTTTATTTTCAAATAGTCTCTGTCGTATGTATGACGAGGCTAAGCCATTGATAAAAGCATCACGAATGTAGTGATCCCTGTATTGAATCGCATTAACAGCTTCAAAAACCCAATCTTGGCTCAAAAGTTTCAGTTCCGAGACATATTTGTCAATAGTCTCACCTTGTTGCTGTTTACTAGTCATTACTAAATATCTTGAGAATATTTCATTCTTTTGTTTTATGTAAATTGAGTTAAGAACTCTCAAAGCGTCTTGGTAAGTTTCAGATTCCTTGATAAATTTATAAGTAGTAAAAGATAATCGATTAGTTAGTAGTTTCAGTTTGTCCTTGTCTTCAACGAATTCTGTCATGGTTAGAAAGTCCTCGAATGTTTGTAACCAGTGCGTCCATTCCTCTGAGGCAGTTGGAGATTCCGGGTCAATTTGCAATTTGTCTGGTCTAAGGAATTTCTCCATTGTAATGTAGCACTAACTGAGTTTATCAATGAATGAATAAAATTGTTGTAAGAAAGACTTAAAACCAAAAGTATGGCTTTTATTCATTCAAAATTACAACCATGTTTTAGTTAAGAACAAATACAATATTTACAAACAAATCAAATAATAAATATTATCAGGTGATAATGTTCACATCACCACACCTAACATATACCAAACCAATTTGCACAGTGTTTTGTACACTGTGTAGAATACACAATGTAATATTTTCCCGACGAAATATTTTCCAGACAATAAAGAAAGCGAGATTGAGTAGACGCTACACAAAGAGATGGAAGGGAGGTTATTACATGCGGTATTTGCTATTCATTTGCGCGCCATGGCGCTACGTGTGCGTGTGTGTGTGTGTGTGTGTGTGTAAACAACATGTCCTCTCAACTCAAACACCACTGCCTAATTACCGTACCAGGTCGTGATGAGGTTCTTTATACAATAAACACCTCAAGCGTCACCATTTTGTCTATGCCATCACGTAGGTTTATCGTTTGTTTTTAGCGCTTTGCTGGTTCTGTAATTGCAATGTTAACGTTTCATGTTCCAGGATTTGTAAAGTAATTAAAAGTAATTCATTATGGAGCAATCTGTTAAATAAACAAATCAGACAGACGTGCTTGTAAACACAAATATTTATATTTCGGTTATTTTAAAATTTGGAAATTCTTTGGCATTTAGTTTTTCTAATTACGTTAAACTTTTATAAGCTATTCGAGGACTTGTTTGTTAGGCAGTTCACAAATTAACTTTCAACGTATACCCTTTACTTGGCAACGAAGACTAATAAAACCAAACAAACATGATCATTCATCTCTAAGACTAATAAAACCAAACACACATTATCCTTAATCTGAAAATTGCCTCAGGCCCTCTCAAGTGATCTATAATGCATGATTATTGTACAAATTTTCAAGGACCGAAACAAATTTGACTGGAATGTCAATCAAAGGACTTTTTATCTTAAACCTTATTTTTTCAATAGACATTACCGGTTCTTTCTTTTGGTAACACATTGAATGGGCAAAACCCAAATCGAAATTGTATTTTTCAATTTGTTACCAAAAGAAAGAACCGGTAATGTCTATTGAAAAAATAACGTTTAAGATAAAAAAAATCCTTTGATTGACATTCCAGTCAAATTTGTTTCGGTCCTTGGAAATTCAAAAAAAGTCAAGTTGAAATTGAAAAGTCAAGGCCATCAAGCAATGGCCGCTTATTGTACATTCGTGAGATGTGTTTTATTAATAAACCAACATATAACCGTCAGTATTGTTATTCTAGAGATTAATAGACCTAGAAAAATGTTTACTACTTTTCGTAACCTGGAATCTTCTCCTGTCTTCAGGTCGTCTACTATTCGCAATAACATACTGTATGTATTAAATAAACCCTCAAATAAACTTGCAATCACCAACAATGAGCTTAACGGCCAAAGTGTCGTAGGATGAGGATCAGGTGTGACGAAGGGCGGAGGCGAGAGGCGGCGGACACTGATGAATGGCAGGAGGTGAGGAGGTGCAGCGCGCACCGGATGTCGACCTAGTAGACCATAACCGTCCGCAGCTGTCCGTGGTGACGTCACGGTGACAATGGTGACCGCACGCTAATTTGTCCTGGAAGGTTAGACTTCCTGTCATCTTGATTTGTCTGTTGGGGAGTGGACCGGTAGACTCAGGTGTTGGCGGAGCGAGTGATCGGTGGCCAGGTTCGGGGCGAAGATTTGTGTTTGTCAAAACAGGAGCAAACTCACGTCGACTTATGTCTTCCTTTGGTGAAACACGTAAACAATTTTGATTTAATGCATTTTGTAATAGCAATTTAAATTTTGATTTAATGCAATGTAATATATACGCTGTGCAAATACAAGATTGGGATTTGTAATCCAAATAAACACGATGGAATTTATACCTGTTTTTAGTTACAAGTTGGCCCAATGACAATATCGAAAACAAGATTTATACAATATAAAAATGTTATGAATCCAAAACAGCTTTCCCCAAAATGAAGTCTGTACTACGAAAGCTATCTTAGTATACCTTGCGGTATTACGTTCTCTAAAGTGATTTCTCAGCTAAATTTACCTATACTGTAGGCACTCACGGTTACTGTAACACCCACCACATCCGATGACTAAAATAATGCATAAAGTGGATCAGAAGTAAATCATCTTGAACATGCAATCGCAATGGCGTTGCAATATGAGTCACCAATGTAATGGCCTTCTACTTGTCAGACAATCCAGCAAGACACGACATATTGTCATCGTCATACCACCACACAAGCGACATGCGACACGTGCTGCGACATGGATGTAGGTTTGCTGTAATATCTTCTTTTTTCATTTGGGTTTTATTTTTCTTAAAGACAGTGCAGAAAAATCCTCTCCAAATGTCTGCCACTTCAAATAATGCCAGATATTATTTAAGTATTTTTATCTGGGTAAGTGTAGGATTTTTAAGCACTCTACTTGGTTCGAGTATTTATTGTGTACTCGTATCATGTAAATACAAAAATCATAAAAAATAAACTAATTTAAGTTTTCCTTAACCTTAACCCCTCTCCAAAATCCGATGCGGTATCAAAGATGATATTTAAATCTAAAATTAATGAATTGTAAAATTAAGTTAAAGCGTACAGTTGGCAGGCAGTGGTTTTACTGTAGTAACTCATGCTTTACATTTCATTGTAGTCCAATTACGTTGTATATCGTTGGATTTAGCATCCGAGGAATAAATTCCGCACGTGTGTGGAATATTCGGCTTCGGAAATGAGTTTGGTAAAGCCACAATCTCAGCTGCACACGCCGAGTTTTCACGTTCGTGATGTAACGTTACTTGATTAATTATCCAGCGATAAACACGTTTGTCGCATTTATATGCGAAACTCCTCACACCAACAGCACGACTACTGGAATATCACACCGCTGTTGAAGTACACACACAGTACTTGCATATTTTAAATGGTAAAATGGTGCCCTTGTGACAACGAATTTTGCTTCAACGACAAAAACCATGTTATATACCCTATCAATCATTTCTATGACATCTTAAATTAATGAGTTGAGTACACAAGAGAAGTACTCAGATTTTTTTCTCAAGGCTCAAACTTCAATTACACAATAGGCCTATGACTATTATTTTGATTTGATTGTCTGAGTTGTATATTCAATATTAGTGCTTTCCATCTATATTTCCCGACACTGCCATAGTGAAGAGTTCCAAAAAATAGGAATCACTGAAGTAACCCACTTTTTGCTGGTTCGATAATTGTAACAATAATAAGGTTTTTGATGGTTCGAAGCCGGGCTTACCGTAATGTTCGATCTTTTAATAAATTGTCCCTACTGCTCTTTGAACTTTTAATAAATTATCCCAATTAAGTGAACAATCAATCTTTGTCAATAAAAAAGCTACACAAGGCATCTCGCACTCGTCTATATCCTCTCCTCAGAACCATCACGTACTCTCCATCTCCAACAGACGGCCGTTGCAAGGTAGGGCGGAGCCCCAGCGTAGTGTAGGCTGGTTGTGGGTATTGTTCTGGCGGAAATCAGCGCCTATTGAATGCCGAGGAGGCACCGGACATCCGGTCTACCGCGTGCTCGTAGTCAAAGACCACCGAAATGCGGAGATCGATACCACAGCCTCCGTGATCGTCACAAAGCGTTTCCTGCGTGACCCTCGGGCCCGTGTCACCTCCACCTGTGTTCTGTAGTTTACGACCAAAAACGCCGCAGCGGTTGGTCCCAGGTCCAGGTCTCCACTCTCCAGTCTCTACTGGTGACCAAACTGTCGCGGGTCTGAGGGAGCTAAACCCATCGCTAGCAATAAAGCCATCATCCAACTTTAGAAACAGGCAAAAAGTAATTAAACATTCAAATTTCGTATAAAGGTATAGTGGGTTTGGTCAAGAAATTGCGTTAGTTGATGTTGATTTTTCACCTAGATCATGAGTTCATATCCTCCAAACAGGGATAAATTAAAGGGTTATCTTGATTGTTGTTTGAGTATATTCATTACTCAACTGTGTGTATTATTGAGCTGTTAATTGTTATACTTACTACTTATCTATATGTTACACTTACTTATTCTAACACTGTTATATTCAAATTCGCCTGTTACTGTGGCAAACAACTTGTACACAGCTGTAGGTAACTACTTTCTGAACGTGGTCAACTAGTTATAATAGTAAACTCCCTCCAGCAGTATTTGAGAAGAGCAGTGTGAGAATTCATTTAAGTTAATGACTTTGAATGTGGCTTTAACCTTTCTGACTGTTAACTTGGAACGTTTAAAGCACGGACTTCTCATCAATTATGGAGCCTGGTTTTATGTGTTTCGTGAAAAGCATTTGAGAGTACTGATGTCGACTAATGTTTCTTCGAATAGATCTAAAGATCTAAAGCTGGTTATGTAATATATAAAGCTACATTGAAGCAAATAACCTTAACCAGCCTTTAAAATATGTCCATCTGATAAAGGATGGCAAACCTATGACAAAGGCGTGTGTTTAATCTATGGTTTTATTTTGTCACGTTTTATAAGTTGTTTTATAACTAATATTAACTAATATTTTTAGGCTCATCTGAATCATTGAAGGTCAACTACACAGTCGGAATTAATAATTGTGAGTATTCATAATTTATTTTTTTATTTTGTGAAAATACTGCAGGATATTAATAATTTTCCAATTTATTTAATTATTAAACTGACATTTTAATCGCTTTCATCCAAATTTCAAATAAGTCCTAATGTATTTTTTATCGTGCTACTTACCTTAGTAATCTATTCAATGTAATTGATATACGCTAATTTGTTGTGCCAAACAATAACTGAAACAGATTATAATTAAATCTGCAATTCAAGACAAAAGATCCGACCAGATTCATCAATCTGATATTCGCTGACAATCATGCGGTGTGTAGTTTAGTGTGTGTAACAATGATAACTGCTTGTTTATTGTACAGAGGGAATATTGGCAAATCGATTGACCATATCTGACCGGACGGTTATACAGTAATGCCATTGAGTATACATATTGTAATACATACACTTTTCCCTCGACAATTTCTGTGATCACAATATTAAGTTTAATGGATGGAAATAATAATGTTTTGGAATATCAGATAATATATATTGGAATACCTGTATATCATCGTGTAGATATTAAGTCAGGTACAATCATGTTTAGATATACAGGGTGTTCAATAAAGGCGTGGACATATTTTACGTAGTGATTCCTTGGGTCAAAATAAAGAGCAAATCAAGGATAAGATTTTTCCAAAATCGCTTCGTTAACCAGATATCCGTCATTTTGTATTTTTTTACATACACATTTTTATCTTTGAATTTTTTTCAACCGATCTTTATGAAACTTGGTATGTTTGTTAAGGTGGAAGAGACCCAATTTATAAAAAAATCCATCTTGATTCGACGTAAAATTACAAAATGGCGGCCATTTTAGTTTTTAAATTTAAATAGTAGTTAAATAGTTGTTTACAATTTTTTGTATATTAAGTTAAAAAAAAATAAAATGGCGGCCATTGAAATTTTATGTCAAATCAAGATGACATAAACTCTTCTACCTTTACTTACATACCAAGTTTCAAACAAAAGATCGGTTTAAACCATTCAAAGATAAAAATGTTTATGTAAAAAATACAAAATTGCGGATATCTGGATAACGAAGCGATTTTTGAAAAACATGTATTCTTGATTATGATTCAAGGAATCACTACGTATATATGTCCCCACCTTTTTTGAACACCCTGTATAGTCAAAGCTATAAGCTAGAGAGTGAGAGAAGCATACATAAGCTACCAATCACCAATCACCGTCAGCTGAGGACTAATTTATTGCTCGTCTCGTCGAAGCGTGATTGATTCAGTCAATTACAATTGTTTACTCAACGACAGTGTCAGTCTATAATGTATTTTATTGAATCTTGAATGGCTATACGAACGTGTAAACAGTCTCTAACACATATTACACCGACATAGACACGCTCAAGAAATAATATTTGAAGTGTAAATACGTGCGGTGTGTCTATTTGAAATGTCTACTAGAGACTATAGAGTCATAGATAGTTGGAAAAAGTGGCTCCATGGAGTTTTTATGCAAAGCTGAGTAATTCGTAATCGTTACTGGTGTAGGCGTACGATTAACCTGTGTAAACATCATGGCATAGGTAAGTGAAGGATTAGTTAAATGGTACTAAAAATAATATGTTCAAATCTTAACTAAATCTAAAAAAATACATATTTCCAATCACATATACTGAGCACAAAATTAAATGTTTCGCATCGTGAGTAAAATTGTTATCTTTGAATATTGTTTAATTTAATCATAATTCAATAGACCGGAGAATATTTTAAAACCTTTATAATTCTCAATATATACACGATTTACAAAAAATAGGCAATAATGAGCTTAATTCCTTGGTACCAAAAATGTTGTTCGTGTTTTAGCTCAGTGGGCAGTTATGAGTTCTAACATTAAGTCTGAGTTAACGACTAGTTTCCAATATAATTCACAACTATGACGAGAAACAACAACATGTTGAACCGGAAATGAACCACGGTATCCGGTGGAACAGTACTAGTAAGACTTGACCTTGTTCTTGGACGTGAGGAACGAGGGAAATGAAAAACCATCACCTTCCGTTCCGTAGTTTATGTTCCCCACCTGGGTATGATTATTGGACTGGACTGCACTCCCGGCGGTGCGTCTCATGATTTGTACTATCTCCTTCTGCTGGGTTTCTGTAAAAAATCTAGAATTAACAGATTTACTTCAAATAGTGTTATTTTAACATCCATTTCAAAATGTTTAAGCACAAATGTCTATGGATAATTCGTATTAATATTTCGAGTTGGGTACTTTATGTTCAAGAACAACACGAAAGTTGTAGCAAATTACACATGGGTAACTTAATAAAACTTCTCTTATTTACATAGATTACGTTTCTCCTATGATACACAATTATATTGCTGAGAAATCAGAAATGAAATGAAAAAAGCGCCTCTAAAACCAGAGTGTACGCAAATCACGAAAAAATAAATTAGGCTAAACTACAATCCTAATCGTTATGAGAAAATCTTGTGCCAAAGCCATTATAGCTATAAAGTCTTTAGAACCATTGTTGAATGCATACTAACATGGATGGTAGTCTTGATTAATTATTGTTTGACAATTTATATTTTCTGCGGAATAATGATAAAAATTCGCAACTAACTAAATAAATGTATGTATGATGAAGTTATGTTGCAAAAGCTCAGATACCTCCGGGTTTATTAATCTACAACTTTACTTTGACATTTCTGACATGTTATAACAGTTGTGAGGAATTAATTAATGCATTTGTAACTAAATAAACGAATGTTTGCATGACCAAGTTGTGTTGTAAAAGTTCAGATGCCTCTTGGCTTATTAGTTTACATCTTTGACATTTCCAACATGTTTTTTAGCGAATTTCCCTATAATAGGGAAGTAGCTATTACCGTAGGTGGCACGGTAAGACATAGACCCGAGACCAATTTACTTTTTCATTTTGATGTCCCCAGAGGCCAAAAACACCATTCGTTCAAATTTTTATATATGTATATATATATATATAGACTTATATATATATATATATATACATATATATATATACGTCCGTGAACGCGATAACTTGAGTAATTTTTGTCCGATTTTGATGAAATTTGGTTTAAAGGTGTAAAGCGGGATAAACTTGAATGAGTTCGCGAACCAGCATGATCGGACCATGGGAACGGGGCTTTACGGGGGGTTTTATGGGGTAAAAATTGGTTTTTCTCACTTTTGACCCTCAAAACACAAAATTTCCCAATTTCTCTTTAGACCTTTTTAAAGAGCTTAAAAAAACAATTAATTTAGTATATAAAAGTATTTTTGTTCGGTTAATAGTAACGGAGAAAATTAAAAAAATTGTAAATTTAAAATTCCCATGTTATTCTTATAGAGAATATTGTCAAATGTTGTAGTTTGCTTGTTTATGGAAATATTTTGTATTTTGATCAAATTTATTTATTTTGTACTAAGCTATCAATATTTTACAAAAAAAAAACACACTTTATTAGTTTCCTTGTAGCAGCAAACCTAGGTACTCGTTAAACCTAATGTTATTAAATAAAATATATTTAATTGAAAATCAATTAAGACAAATGGAAATTCGCTTAGTCGGCAGGTTTGCTGCGGCGGGGGTATTTTTTTATTGTGGCGAGGAATTAATAAATGTATTCGCAAGCAAACAAATATACGTTGAGGTCTATCTGTGTAGCTGTGATAGCCATATTGGCGGAATCAGATTATATATTTAGGGGTGAATATTGTGATAATATTGTGAAAAAGACAACCATATTATCATGGAAAAGTTGATTTGTCAACAACATATTTTATAATACTCGGACACAATTTTTATAACACAACTTGTTAAACACGTAAAATATTATAATTAATATCAGTGCATTTATTTGATAAGTTTCAAAAGTAGTTTTATCTTACACTTAATAGGCTAATAATAATCAAAATACATTGCCTCTATTAGTAAAAGAACTAATCAAAGACAGAATCCAACAACAGCATTAATTAATTGATAAATCCCTATTGCAAATTTGGACTAGAGCTATACACAAACAATTTACATTGTAGATGAGTCCTCAATCAATACAGGATTAAATCAGCTGACGCTACAATATACAGAATCAGCTGTTAAGTGGAAACACTGCTTCTTACCAACAGAAATGTATCATTTTATAAAATCGAAAATCACATTAGTTACGTAAAAGAAGGGTTCCTGGTTTCTTAAAAAAAGTTATAGTTACACAAGATATTGCAAACAAAATTACAAAAATGATGGTTTCTCCTGTTGGAAACGAGAAATAGTTCGTGCACTAAGCCGATAATTGTTTGAATTAAGCTATTATTTCTATTGACTATTTTTTTTTTCAAGTTACTTTTAAAAAAACCCCTGCGCATTTGAGATAGTGCTACCAAATTTAGTTAATCTTTAGTTTTGAGAAATTAAGCAAATAATTGGTTAATTCGAATCATTGTTGTCACTGCTCATATGTTTTATTTGTTTGGACAATGACGTCATTTTCAGTCATTCTTTATTATACAACAGTAGGCTATATGACAGCTTGCATAGTATGTAATATTATATGATTGCATGTAAATAAAGAAGCCACGTCATCGGATATGACGTGTTCATACTGCATAGCGGACTGTGTCAAAAGTTATTAGGTCAATATAGTTTTATGTGAATACAATACCTCAATAGTACGATATATTCATGTTAATATTCAGTATGTTTATATTCATGCTAAGAAACATGTATATTACAGTAAAAAAAACTGCAATTGTGGCACTCCGGTAATTAACACATAAATAACGTAATGTATTTAATTAAATCTAAACTAAACGTGTACGTTATATTTTTAAGTTCGAAAAGGAAGATGAGGAAATGACGAATGTCCCAATATAACCTAGGTTAACTGGTAACAGCATTAAGTGATTAGGTCGTATGGCTTCCAAGCTGCCACGGTCATGTGAGGATTTCTCGTACATACAGCATGCGATGCATATGAATCTTTAGTCAAGAGTGGT